GACTTGGGGGAAATTGAAGAATTTTGTCGCAGGCTCGACCAGCATGTTATTGGCACCCTCGACGTTGTATTGAATTTTTTGGACGGAGGCGTCTTTCGGTTGTTCTAATCGCTCCAGGAATTGTTGGCTCATTTTGTAACCCAATTCGGAGAATTCCAGGATTTGAACCAAGGCATTTGCGAGTGTTTCACGACGCTGATAAGTGATCAACTCGCTTTTGGTATTTTCATCTGCAAAAAAAATAAAATAAATAAATAATAAAAATGAATGAATTGATAGTAAGCTTCGCAATGATATTTTTTTTGAGAAATCAGTCTTGGAAATGACCCAAGAGGCCAAGAGTCATTTGAAAAAATTCATTTTAATTTTCAGTAGCCTCATTTTCAGATTTTCAAAAATGTCATCCCTGTATCCTTTCTTGGTTGTGCATCAGTCTCAAAGTCATAAAAGCATTTTTTTGAAAGTTTAGACAGATTTAAACATATTTTAAAATAAAAATGCTCTCCAGAGAATTTTTCAAAAAAAAATATAGTCCCAATCAATGAAATCCCAGAAAGTTCTGATGAACATGTGAGGCTTTCTTTCAATGAAAAGCGTCTTGAAATATTGATCTAGATCCCTGTGGGAATTATACATAAAATTTGTTATAAATTTTCTAGAAAAACAAAGTCTGTAAAATGTATTTTGTCAAAATACCGTTTGACGTCTGGTATAAATTGTTTTCAGCAAAAACTTATTGAATTGTATGCAACAACAAAAAGATGGTGACCTGTTTGTCATTTGAAACTTACGATTTTTACTATTAATTTTATGTGAAACATCGCTTATTTTTTTTATTACAAAGTCTCACTTATGTTAATATTCAAAATCTAAAAAAGTAGTTTAGAGGTAATTACCAGGTTTCCTTTCCTTTCAGAAAAATATATGGCGATTAGCTGCTGGTGCATGAAACCCCCTTTTTTGTGGGTATTTTTGTTATTTAAAAAAAATATCTTGATTCGAACGGAAAAAAGAAAATTCCTTGTGTGGAAATTTCAAGAAAACCTTTCGATAATACTCACGGAAAATTTCGTCAAGAAACATTTGGAGTGCTTGAAGAAGACTTTGTTCTGGAGCAGATGTCGCTGGTGCAATTGCTTGATGATGACCTGTTTCACTATTGATTTGTCCGTGTTGCTGATGAGGGACTGATTGTCTCTCTGGTCTCTTTTCCGTGTTATCATTTCCAGCCACGACAACAATGTCACTCTTGCCGAAGAAATCTGTTTTTGGCTCGTCGGGTTCTTGTTTTGTTGGCGACCCTGTAGTCGAGTCTTGCTTGTGAAGTTGCTCTTGGTTCATTTGGGTTTCAATGTACTGGGAAATTATTGCCTTGGACAAGACTGGGTCGATAATACGTTGATCCAGACTTGCCTGGGTTGTTGTTGGTTCTTGGGTATCTATTTCGGATCAATTCAGGAATTATAATTATTAACCTTTTTTATTTTTTATTTGAGTATTTTTTTTCTGGCAGACGAGCTGCAAAACAGACAAAACCGTAGGGGGAAAATTATCAGATTTTTGATTAAAACCTCGGAATTAATGTCGGCAAATTTTGAGCTATATTTTAATGATGTAATAATTTTGAAAAAAGTTTATTTAAGATCCTGAGGGAATTAAATTATTATTCACAAGAAACGTCAAACGATGAAATGCATGTTTGAAAGATTTCGTGAAAGTAATTTTCTTTTAATTAGCAGTCCCAAATTCTCTCAAGTAAAGCTCGAAAGTAAATTAGCATAAAATTGCGCACTTCAACAAAAATTGACTCATGTAAAATGCAATCCAGAGCTTATGTAAAACCCGAGATTTTTCTTCCAAAGATTGTCAAACTCAAATTAATTGAATGATTCATTTCAAGGTTTTCTATTGGAAGACGTGCATTTAAAAATTGAGAATAAAATACTGTATACGAATATAGAAATTCTCAGTACTTTTTAATTTTCAGAACTAAGAAGACGAAGGGGACAAGTAAAGATAAAAATTATGCAGTCAGTGATTTAGAATTGCTTCAAAATCCGAGAACTGCGTTTTATTGATTTAATTCTGGAGTCAACTGAGCCAGAGAAACTATTTTGCGTAAATGAATTATTTATTCTGATGAAAGTACCAAATTTCGCTTATTCGAAGTTACTTGTTTGAAGCATGTACTTCAGTTGGTTGAGCATCAAATATTCAGAAGGTACTTCTCAGTACTTTTCATTTCCGGAATTAAGAAGAAAATGCCTGAAATAAAGGGGAAACATGATAATGGTGGTGATTAACACTGCTTAAATATCCTACAATTTGTTTTTCTTGATGAAGTTAGATTTCATTGGGACAAAAAACAATATTTGATTCCTGAATATTTGGACTGAGAAGCTCTCCAAGAAGCGCTGACATTTTCGTTTAAATTTTCCATTCCAGGTTAGTTTTAAAATTATATTTTTGTCGGAATTATTTTCTCAAGGAAATCAATAGTCATTTTCTAAAGACAAAAATGATTCCGTTTGTGTTCCTCGGAATGAACAGAATTCGTGTCTCACCCGTGATTGGAATACTTTCAACCACAACAAGAAACACAAACACCGACAAAATGCAACTTGCGAGCGAAATAATCGTCATGTTTGCACCGTCTTTTGTTTCTGAACCACAACGAATGAAAATCTGAAGACAAAAAAAAAATCAGTTGAAATTCGAATTTTAAAATGAAACCGTGTTCCAGATGTGAATCCAGCTGGTTTCTATTGGAGACTCAGAATGAAAAGGGTTGGGTTTTATACTATGATTTTCAGCGCTGTATGAAGTTATTTACAAACAAGAAGTTTAAAAAACATCGAGGAAATATACCGCCGAGATTTAATTCATGTCGCTGGCTTTTGAGTCGCTAAAAAGGTTTCAAATGCAAATTTTAAAATGAAACTTTGTTCCAGATGTGAATCGAGAAAGTTTACTGGAGACTCGGAATGAAAAAGACTGGGTTTTATACTAGGATTTTTNTGAGTTGTTCGAAGTATAATTTTCCAGGTAGAATTTATATTTTTCTCCTACAATTTTGACGCTTATAATTCGGCGGCTTTTTTCTCATTTTTTTTTTGTTAGCCTCGAAGTTGGCATAAAGTATCAATTAAAGTTTAATCGTGAGAAAAGCGACACTTTCTCTGCTATCTCTGAAAATTTTTCGAAACATGTAAGTATACTCTATATGCAGAGTATCAAAGGCGCTCCTTTTAAAATAAACCAACCCGCCTTTCTGGAAAAGGTTGTTCAATATCTGGGCCGTAATTTCCCACAAAAAATCATTTTAATGGCTGATTCGAAGTATGAAATGAGAAATACTTGATACATTAAATCAAATGCCTCATCTTCAGGGGAGTCCTTGTTTAGTATACATTTTGAACAAGGACAGCGACTTAAATAAGCAGTGACCTAAAGCACTTGTCCCTGGGCGCCGCCATGACAGGCCTAAGAGCCACCTGGCTCTAAGACATCCGATGTTGATCAGTGTTTTTTCTTAAACTTTGCATATGCTCTTGCTATTGGATTTGTTTATTTGCTGATGTTTTGGCAGATGAAAAAATCTCAAGATTGAACTTGAATTTTATGATGTTTATAACTGTATTATTTTATGACTCAATTTGCTCAATTGTCTGTGACTCATTTGTGTGTAATTATTATTAGGGGATTATTTTTGCGCGGTCATGAAAAAAGCAAGAGTCTCAATCCAAGACATTTTCCTTGGTCAAAATTAGCTACTGCACTCTTCAGTAGAAGACATACAGTATTTCCCCACGCATTTTTTCATGGTCATGCTACTCTCTGCTTCTTTCTTCCTGTGCCATTTCGCGAAATGGCACAGGGATTAGTGAAAGAACCAAAACATTTTACACCCGGGGTCTTGCTGATGAGAATTAATTCTGGGATGATGTGTCTTCTTCAGCAATGTTTATTATGTGGAATTTTACTCCAGAAGTACGTTTCAGGTAGTGAAAGAATAACTACCCCTGAAACATTCATGAGATCAATACATTATTTTTGTTTTGAAAATGAAACTGAAACGGGTTTAAAAAAGTCTACGCGGGCAATTTTTTTAAATACATAGAAAAAAGCAAAAAGTTTCAAAATTGAGAATATTCGATAACGAGAAGAAATGAAAATTCACAACAAAATCGGCTTTTGGTATATTCTCTTCATTTGAATGCCTTATGATGACTTCATTTTAGAAAAAAGGGAATTTATAATGGACCTCCGCAAAATCCTTTGTGTGTATAATATTATTAAACAAAAAAATAAATTTTCAATAGGACCCGGTATGACGATACAATCTTCTTTCTTACTGGTCGAACTATTTGTCCTGATGCGAGGATTTTTGTAACTGGTCTGATTACGTAACCCTTTTACGTAATTTAAAATTAAAACTAGAGAATAATAAGATAAATCCTGGAAGGTACTGTCAATTTTCCCGGGGGTCGAGAACTACCATAAACCACTTTCTCAATAAGATGCTCATGAAAAGTCTCTTCTTTACTGTGATTATCATTCCTGTTTAATGTTAATTTATTTTTGGGATTTTTATTTTGTGGTTATTTTATGATCAGCAGAAAAGTCCACTATGTCTCTGTAGAAAATTATTCCAGCAATTTTTGAGGATTTTAAAATTTATGAGGAAATGAAATAACGCTGGTAACACTCTGTGTAAATGAAGGTGCATTAAGGTGTATTTCACTTTGTTGAATTTTTCAGATGCTCTCTTCTCAGGTGAATTTCTCACAGCACTGTGCCCAAAATTTCCCTAGAATCAAGAAAATAGCATTTTCCACAAAGTACCTTTTACCAAGTTGGTGTTGGGCAAGCATGCTGTGCCTCTATTATTTGAATAAAAATAACATACTTCTTGGAAATCATTGATAGCTTATGCCCCTTCTCAAAATTGCAGTGCCAGTTCTTTTCTTGGGCCACTGTAGCATATTTGAGTCTCACTTCTTGTCTTATCAAAGGTCTTTCTCAAATAAGAAGTGAAAGCCATTGATGGTTAAAGTCTTCCTGCTGTCGTGGGTCGACCGGGTGTCGCCCTGAGTAAATAATTTCGCACCGTGAGACGACTAGAGGTTGCTCACGGTCATGCCACGTTGCTTCAAAGCAACCAGAATACACAAGAACAAAAGTTACATAATTTCGAATATTCCATGAAGTTATGAAACCTTCATGGAATAATTTGAAACCTATTATAAAACATCA